AGGATTTTAAGTAGTTTTATGACTGAAAAATGACCTCGTGCTTTTGTATGTAGTACAGATTACAGATACTGAGCAGAAACAGTCCCTCCACCATCTAATGTCTTGCTTCATTCTAAGGCATGGATAATAAGTTAAATCCACAGACTCAATGAATGTATCTCTAGATTCTACTTGAAATATTACTTCATTGTTACCTTGGACAAAGTCTTTTTAAGAAGACTTCTAAAACAAAGGAAATTCACCTAATTAAAAAGGCAATAGTCAAACTACAGGGAAATGCAATCAAACTGAATTATGATGTGGACAAGAACCAGTTCATCTAAGTATTTCATTGGGTTGAATATTCTTGTTATCCAACGAGAACCAAAATGCATGCACTAGCATACCCAGACAAAGATCATCCTCCTTCCGAACATGAATCATGTGTGCAAATCTTTTGAAATTTTCAATGCCATTCATTGTTTTTAAAGATAAAAGGCACAATCTCACCAAGGCGAGACTGAAAAGAAGCAAATGACAGAATTGAAGCGCACAAGAAAGATAAAGTTACATCAATCGATTAATCAACAAGCCGTTAAAATCCCACTAAGTGGGGTCGGCTATATGGATCACATGTCCCCATCGTGCTCGATCAAAGCACATATCCTCATCCAAATCTAAATACTTTAAATCATTCTTATTGTCTCATTCCAAATTTTCTTAGTTCTACCCCTCCCCTTTTAATTTGTGTTCTTAAATCTAATGTTTCTACCCTTCTCACTAAAAAAGAAAGATCAAATTAAAATGAACCAAATTTTGTATTCGTAAATGTATATTTACTAGAAAGCTTAACTTTCTACAAAAGGATTAGTAGGAAACGAAAGTAAAGTATCAAATATATTGAAATAAAAACTTTGGTAGTGTTAATATTAAAAAAATAAAAAATAAATAAATAAAAAAAAAAAACACTACGATACAGTGGTGTGTGTGCCTGAAGCTATGTGTCACCTGAGGCATGAAGTGTGTTTCTGACAACTATGGTACTCTCTACGAACTCATGACTACAAAACAAACTTATGACTAAAACAAAAAAGCAATTGCTCCACATAGCCAAGTGTGATCCAGGACTCTATTCTGCCAACGAAACTGTTAGATTGTTGGATATTTTATTTCATACATAAGTTAATCCTCTTGCACATACACAAGTCTATACTTAAATAATTGGCTTGTACAACGGTACTTAAACTAATACTACAAACATATAAAAATGGCAACGCCAACACCTATAATGTCCCTCGATGCAAGCGTAGACAATAGCAGACTAAAATTGCGATTTTTCCCAGAGTCATTACAGACATTTCTATTTCATGAATAATTCAATTGCTAACAAGAGGGTGTAAACCAGAAATTCGACAGAATTCAAGAATAGAACAATGTACTTTATGATGGCAACCAGAGCTCACCTTCAAGGCATTCCTAATCTGAGAAGCCTCGGGCATCAGTCTTAAAGCCACACCATCAACTTTAAGCTGAAAAACCTGAAATCACAACTTTTACATGACTCCGGACCACAATTAACCAAATAATATGCCGCAAAAAATGAAAATAACTGAACATCAAAACCCAGCAGTACAAGAACTCATAAAATATCAGTCACAACCAAAGAGCCATCATCTTCTAATACATTATAACTATCACCACATACAACCGAAATTCGAATCACCAAGAACGCATAAGCAGGCCATTCGCTCATTTAAATGTCTTATTCAGCAAAGCAATTAAAAGATAGCAAGCTTAAAATAAGTCTATACCTTGCTTAGAGCGACAGCAACCACTTGTGAGTCAGAACCCGCGGATGGGTCCACAGACTTCATCTGGTAAAGAAGGGAGTTCGCATCAGCTTCACTAAAACAGAATAAACCAAGGTTTTTCCCAGTGTTCGCGCCCGAAAGTAAAATAAAATCTTTGGAACCGTTGCTCAGAGCGTATACTGGCACACCGGCCAGTCTCTCCTCGATAGCTTCAGGAGGCATAGCGCGATTCCTAGCAGCGGGAGTGCTATTAACAGTGCTGGCGTTCGAACTGTTAGAGGCCGGTTTGTTTCCGTTTGGAATTTTGGCAAACAGACTACTTTTAAGAGAAGGGTTGCTCTGCAGGTTGTCGAGGAAGCCAGAGAAGTGGGTTTGGAGGGAATTGAAGGCTTGCTGGAGGAGATGCTGCGACGGCGATGACGACGACGCCGACGCCGACGCCGACGCCGATGCCGACGCCGATGCCGCCGCTTGTTGGGGTTTAAAGAAATTCATGAATTCCTGCGAGGCTAGGTAGGCCGGAACTGGAAGTGCACCACCGCACTAGTGGCCGGCTAAAGAATACGGAAAATTGATATATCTGGATAATTTGATTTGACGATATAATGGAGTAGTTTGTTTATTTTAAAAAAAAAAATAAAATAAATAACTGGACCAAAAAAAAATATAAAAAAAAAAGTCGACCAAAATCAAACGACGTATTCTCAAAATACGTTTTGTTAAAAAAAATTAATCAAAAAAACGTATTCTGAGAATACGTTTTATAATTATTTTTGTAAATTAAAAAAATCCCTATAATTCAAATTTAAAAAAAAAAAATGTAAAATGTATTTTTATAAAACGTATTTTGAAAAAATGTTTTAACGTATTCTGAGAGTACGTTTTACAATTAAATTGTCGGTAAACGTATTCTTAGAATACGTTTTTTAAAGTAAATATAAAAAAAAAATCTCTTCCTCTCCACTTCATTTACGAACAGAGACTCCACCAAGCAAAAAAAAAAGAACAAAGCAGCAATCCTTCATTCGTGAAAAAAAAAAAAAAAAAAATTGATCCAATCTTCATCCCGGCGTGAACCGACAACACCGACACGAGCCTCATTTCCGGTTAATTCATTCGCACGAGGTATATTGGCTTATCTTTACTTTTTACATTATTTGAAGTTGTTTGGAGATTGGGAATTGGTATAATATGTTTGAATGTGGTGGTATTTGAAGATTAAAAATTGCTAATTGATTATCGATTATGTGTGTATGTTGAATTGAGGATTGAAATTTTGTGTGTAAATTGTCAATTGTGTATTGTTTGGTTGTTGTTGGGGTTAGGGTTTTCTGAAATTAGGGTTAGAATTAGGGCTTTCAATTTATCCGAATTATAGATGAATTTTATGTTATTATTCCATTATGAGTATTAAGTTTTGGAGGATTATTTGATTGGGACTATTTTTATTTTTATTTTTAGTTTTGTTGGAGTAAAAATTGAGTTTTTTTGGAAAAAGAATTGAAAGTATTTTTTTTTTTTCAACAGGTATAAAATGGCCTATTCCGGTCCATACCTTGTTAATTTGTACTGGCATTTTGGGAAGGAAATGTTAAGCGATTTTGTTTCATTAAAGATCGTCCGAGTGGTTCATTTATTATTCCAGGCAGGATATCATATGAACAATTGGTACAAATGATTAATGCAAAATGTCAGTTTGAAGAAGGTTGGACAATTCAGGAGATTACTATGATGATTAGCCAACCTGATGGTTCGTGGAATCCCGCAATACTCAATAACGATTGTTTTGAATGGATATATTACTTTCCTCGTATGTCCATGGTGTATTTGCATTTATCGTTGCAGGCAAATACACCCGTTACACAGTTTCAGGATGTTACTCCTTGTTACTGGGGAGTGTTTGATGTCGAGGGTACGTCGACTTCTCATCTACCTAATTTTGGAGAAGGGACATCGAGAGAATGGGCGGCGGATGAGGACAGAGAAAATATTGATGAAGATTTCATTCCCGGTGAAGATGATTTCACAGACGAGACCTCAGAAACCGAATCAGATAGATCGGTAAATGAGGAGAGTGAACCCGAGTTCATCGAAGAAGAACACCCATTTCCTAGTGGTGGTCGGCATATATACCGCGAGATGGGTGAATGGGACCCGTCCAGGATATATGCGAACGAGTATGCTATTCCACTCTGGAATGGTGACATTGAGACCATACGTTTGGGTACAGTTTTCCGGAACAAGGAAGAAGCCCAAACAGGTTTAATGGCTTGGAACGTCGATAGGTTGCGGGAGATTCGGACAAAAGATTCAAATCAGAAGTCATTCAAACTGGTCAGCAGATCGAATGCAGATGTGCCTTGTCTGTGGAAGGCTCGGGTGAATAAGTCCAGACGGCGTGATGATTTGTGGGAAGTAACTGAATGGACTTACCAACACACTTGCATGCAACAGGTCGACAGAAATGACCACAGAAACGTGACCGCCCATATGATTGCGAATCTTATAATTAATAAGATTCAAAAGAGAGTGGAGTACAACGTTAACATGGTGCAGGCTGATGTGGAACAGTATTGGAAAAGTCGACGTCAGTTACAAGAAGGCATGGCACGGCAGGAAAAAAGCAATCGAGTGTGTGTACGGCAGTTGGGAGTCGAAGTTCGCAGAACTCCCTCAGTAAGCAAAAATTAATTAAAAATATACGTGTTTTTTGTCTGTCGTTATGTTTATTTATTTATGAAATTGTTTTGTATTGTACAGATATTTTGTCGCGCTTCGAAGAGCGAATCCCAACACAGTTGTAGATTGGGAATTTCAGGGTGGTGATATGGCGCGACACGTTCCAGACAGAGAATTCAAATTTGTGTTCTGGGCGTTTGGTCCCGCGATTAAAACCTTCCAAATGTGCCCGCCGGTTATTAGCATCGATGGCACACATTTACGTGGACATTACAAAGGAAAATTGCTCGTAGTCGTAGCACAGACTGTGAATAAGCGGTTATTGCCAATCGCATATGCGCTTGTCGACGAAGAAAGCATGGACAGTTGGTCATTTTTCCTTAGGAATCTGCGGCAATATGTTGTATTCGACAAACATATATGCGTTCTTTCTGACAGAGATGTGGGCCTACGCAGTGCGATTGAATCATTACCAGATTGGCAAGAACCCGCTGCGTATCATCAGATTTGCCTTCGACACCTTCGAAGCAACGTGGTGACTAGGTTCAAGAGTAAGAAAATCCAAGATTGGTGTTGGGAATTGGGTTCGCAGTTGTCGAAGCGAAAGTTTCTACAGACAAAAGAGCGACTTCAAGAATTTAATCCCGACGCATACAATTATCTTTTCAAAATTCCTTTGAACCAGTGGACCTTGTATCGAGATGAAAACGTAGATGGTGCACCTTGACAACAAATATGTCGGAAAGTTACAACAACGTCCTGAAAGGGGTTAGGTTCCTGCCGTGAAGAGCTTTGGTAGACGCCACATTTCACAAAACTCTGGATTTGTTTCGACAAGAACAAAGCAAGTCAAGCAGATGCAGGAGTCCCATTGCTAGGGAGCACTATGTCGCATTTTTGCAGTTGGAGCAAACAGCCGCAACTCACGAGGTGGAATGTACGGACTACGACAG